GACCATTCCATGAAGACTGAAAAGTGACCGGTCGTATAAAAACGTTTCATGGATTTGCGTTTTATTATCGAAAAACATTCGCTAAATCTCATTTTTTTTAAACAAATAATAAATCAAATTCATGTTTAACACGTTGAGTGCGAAACCAGGTCTATAGACCTTGTGTACGTCTCGCTTACCGTGCGGCTAAGAAAATTATAGTCTTCCTTGTCGTGCGAAAGGCATAACTTCAATTGGGTCCGGTGTAGGAAAGTGATGAATATATATCNCTAGGAATAAATGCAGAGCCTCCTCATTAAGATTGAGACATTTCAATTTGAGATTTCACTAGACATTGATTACAATCTGACATGGAGTTTTCTAATACTTTTGACATACCAAGTACAATGTAGTTGACATTATATGTATAGGTAATTTTAGTATTTTTAATTTATTATTTTTGAATTGACATTAATGTAATTATTGACCCTGAGTTGTCTGACATTAGTTTTTATAAATGTGAATTATATTTTGTTAATGAATGTAAATGACAACTACAGTAATAATTTTGCATGCCTAAAGGTGGAAGATGGAGATACCTACTTGAAAAATTGTAACACCTACTGATGTAAACCCATTTTCGCAAAATAAATGATTTGATTTGATTTGATTTCAAACACTTGTAAAAATAAAAAGTAATTAAATCAAAAGCAGTAAGTATCTAGTATTGATATCAACTTCGAAGCAAATGACTCCCAAAATAACTTTCTACCCCTTTTACACGTTTGTCATGAATTATAATATTAAGGAATTGTTAAGCAAAATTTCAAGTAGATTGAACCAAAAAATCACTTTGTCCCATACAAACTTTGCCCCCTTTTTTCACCCCCTTCATTTCATGACCCCATTTCGGAAAATCGGATGCCTACGTCATACAAAGAACACACCTTCCAACTTTCAGGTCTCTACGATATCCGTCAGTCATTTAGGACAAAGCATTTTTATTAGTTGTCCAATACTCTATCGTTCCAGGTATGTCATTAACAGGAGGGCGCTACTATCTTAATGGGTTATTTATAAATGCTAAATAGTAAATATTAGTTTGGATTGTGAAATATCCTATCCTACTAATATTATGAAGGCGAAAGTTTGGATGTCTGGATGTCATGATGTCTGGATGTCATGATGTCTGGATGTAGCTTTCCCTCCGCAACCTTATTGGTATTCCATGATTGTATGTGTCTTTTAACTTATTTCTGTTAAACATTTCATGTAAAATTTGTCAACTCCATTTACATCTGCATCTGTAAACAAGGGTTCATGTTCTTCAGCCCAGATGCCGAGTAAACAAAATCGTCTTTCAGTGACGTTCAGCTGCCCCTATATTTAACCCACTGACCTAATATTTTATTATTTATTGGTATCAGTGTGCTCTTCTAAAGAGTGTAAGACGATTGTATGTAGGTACTATTAAAATTTAATTTTAACTCATTGTTTTTGTCTCATATTTGAGGAATGTACTATGTATGTATCATGAGTAGAATCTTCGTTTAAAAGGATGCGAACCATTTAAATTTCAATAGGTAGACAAAATTGATAATTCTTATTTATCAAACATTTTAGCTTTCTCCAGTAACACTGATATTATTATACTGTGACTCATCAAAGTCATCATTGTCAAAAATATTGACAAATCGCGAACTGTCACGTCCAACAAACTGACACGCGTCCGTCCTCCGTAAGCGCCACCGCGCGACTGATTGAGATGGTCCAAGCCGTCATGGACGATTTTTTCCACATTTTTTAACATAGTAACTAAATAAGACGCAATATAAAAATTTCATCCGTTAAAAGCCCTCAAGTTATTTCTGAACTTAAGTTTAGTAAAAGATTTAGAATCTCAAATCGCTTATTTTAAAAATAAAACCATAAATAGAAAACGAATAGAGGTAACTTTGGGAATTTATTCTATCGAGTCAACTTCATCAAATCGTGTTTCCTTTTTTTGGTTATTTGATAAATTTCTCCAAAAAATGCCCCATTAACAGGTGGTTTTTATTACTTTTTATTATTCTCCATCGTATTACTTTTGTAAAACCAAAAATCGCATGTCTCTATCCCTATCACAACGTTTGCAATGATCGTTTGAACAAAGCCTCTACGGGCGCGCCATTCAACGCTTTGTTAACAACGAAACTGAAAATGGCTCTAGATTTGTAATTTTGATAAAGACAAGTTAGATTTCAAATAAAAACAAAAGATTTCGAAGTGAAATAAGCATTTTAGTTAAAATTAAAATTGTCTCTACCTGTAGCGGAGAATAATGTTGTGGCAGGCCTTTGTTCAAACGATCATAGCAAATGTTGTGATAGGGATAGAGACATGCGATTTTTGGTTTTACAAAGATAATACGATAGAGAATAATACAAAGTAATAAAAACCACCTGTTATAGGGGCATTTTTTGGAGAAATTTATCAAATAACCAAAAAAACACGAATTTAAAAGCAGATTTTTTTTAAAAAGTATCATTTTTTATTATTTGTTGGCATTTTTTGTGTATTTTATGTATTTTTTTAGTATCGCCTGTTATTTAGCATTATTACTGTTTTTATTTTATCAGAATATACTGCTTAGTTTAAAAGTTATTACGTTTTCTTTACAACAAGTAATTGGAAGAAAAAAAAATCTATAAAAAATTAAAAAAAAAACTCAAAAAAAATTTGACCTCTTTTTTGTCGATAAAAATAGGTCTAGTTTCATCTATTTTCATATGTACACTTTAACGTGACTCACACTGTATTATAGCCGCCCTAGGGGGCGCTGTTTAATTTTTCATACAAAATTTTTCGATGACACTTTGAATACGCAACGAAACGAACTCGAAAGTTTTTCCTACTAGAGGTACAGATCGCCATCGCCGACACGATCAAAGGCTAATGACAAGTCGCGCGACCCATGACAGTTCACACGACCTGTCATTTTCCTATGATGGCGTCGTGATCGCGCCGGCGATGGTGATCTGCAGGCGTTGGTGTGGTTGAAGCATTACTTACTCGTATTTATTTACATAAGTATACAAAATATACAAAAAATACCTTTTACAAAAATAACTATACAAAGTAGGATGCCATCTAAACCTTGATAAGTAGGGAAATGTTTTACTGCACTACAGGTCATCTCTGGCTGGTAACTGTAGTAGCAAGTACTTTAACTATAGTGCACTCGAATAGAAACTGTCTATATCCTCTGTATCTCTACTAGCAATAGGTATTTCAGTTAGCAATCAAAGATAACTCGGAGATACGAGTAGAAAGGCAATCATTGTTTGAAAAGTTTTAGTCTAGTCCAGCTTCTATTGACGCAGATCTGTTTATGTGGTCTTTTCAGTATCAGACAGACCCCCTTGGAACATGTTGGTCATCTTGTTGATGAACATGGTGATGATCTGAGACTCCCCCATGGACCGGTGGAGGGCTTTCATGGCGTCGCCGAACTTCTGCTTCTCTTTCGCCGTGCAGTTTGCGCATGATGTAGTGACCATCTCGAAAATGTCATCTGGATTGTAAATTTTGTCATTTTTAAGATCGAAATTTTCCTAAAACTGATATAAGGTATTTAGGAATAGGTAGGTGCATGTCCTGATTAGAAATAAAAAAGAGAAATAAGAAGTGAAACAGTTAGTATTACATAGTCCTACTAGCTGTGAGTGTCTCTAAATTAATTATTTTTGAGTTTTGCATTGTGCATCATGTCATCTTGCCTGAATAGGTAAATAGTAGAGACATTGTGCCAACAGTAGAGTCATATAGGTACTACTAGATTTCTGATATACTAACTATGAATATCTTTAGGACGTATGGACGACGATACATCGACTTAAAATTTAGTGTTATCCTAAATATCCTATTTTGCAAGTAAAATGTAAATATGTTTGATAGCGTTTGTGAATCAATTGAAGCCTGCTTACCTTTCATCTCCTTATCTTCTTTATTAGCACACTTAGTTTCATCCCTCACACATTCAAAAAGCGCTCTCGATCTCGTCGTATTTAGTAAAAGTGTCTCCATGTCAAAATTGTCGTAGTTATGTAACTTTGCAAAACACTGCACACACAGAAATACCATCAGATGTGATAAAACTAGAACTTTTCTGTGAGACATCTTACTTGGACTAAGGAAAGGTAGAACTAGTTATCACATACGGTTTTCTCGTTGGGCCTATTTATGGATAATAAAACAATGCCCTAATTAAACAATCGCTATTGTTCCTTTGACGTAAACTTCGATGTTACGTGATTGTGAGTAATATTGCAGAAATGGGCTGGCTTTTGCCTAAACAGGGTGATGGAGATTTAGCCAGTCATATTTATGCTGGTCAATGGAGATGGGCAGGCCACACTGCACGGATGAACCACGATCGCTGGGCCAGAGAGACCTTGGAGTGGAGACTCTGCAATGTCACCCACGGCAGAAGAAGACAGTCTAAAAGATGGACAGATGACATCCGGCAGCAAGCTGAAATAAACTAGATGCAAGTGGCTGGTCCACCTTGTGGGTGGACGTCCCACGCTGCGTTTTCCGGTACGTGGCCCCCACTCCAGAACCTTGCTGCCCCATCGACCGTCAGTTCTGCGTACTATGTGTCCTGCCCATTGCCACTTCAGCTTGCTAATCCGTCGGGCTATGTCAGTGACTTTAGTTCGTTTACAGATCTCCTTATTTCTGATTTGGTCAGCTGGGGACACTAGGCGGTGGAAGGATGAAGGGAAGGCCTATGTTCGAAGACGAACCCCAAAGGCTGTTAATAGATAGTTTTGTTTTTGTCAATGAATTAAAGAATCTCTGTCTGTAAGCGTAAAAGTAAAATGTTGATTCCTAAAACAATCTCAAGAGCAAACTCATGGTTGTGAGAATAACACTCACTAAAAGTGTTTATTTCTATAGGAGTAGGCCATAGGTATTAGTCTAATAAATTTTAGGTACTCATTCTACACTAAAAACGTCAACATAAAATAATCAAAATTCTTTACAAACTTTTATTGCTTTGAAATCGTAATTAACTACTGGGCCCTAATGGGTACTAATTAATGATTAAACGAACTTAAAAAGTGAAGTTCTATCATAATTATGCGAGGGCTTTGTCCGAAGAGATTAGAAATAAGAACTATGTAGTATCACGTACGGTGATGCCAGTTTACGCACTGTTAGTTGAGGATATTTTTTTTTTTTTTTTTTTTTGTGGATATCTCAGTTTACATCCCATTTGACATTGGTATCCGTCGTCAGTTAGTTTGGAGTAGTAATTTGTATTTTTTATCATTTCACTAATATGGGGGTTTGTGTTTTTAATAATATACCTACATATGAGTATATGATTGTTAAAGACGGGTGGGAGGGTTTCTAATCTCTTCGGACAAAGCCCTCGCATAATTATGATAGAACTTCACTTTTTAAGTTCGTTTAATCATTAATTATGCTCGTGCTTTGTCCTCGAGATTAGAAATAAGAACTATGTAGATTTTGAGAGAACTGATGTGAAATGATAATAAAAACAAAGCTGTTTATTACTTTGCAAAAATAATAAATCATTAGTAAGAATACAATGCTTGTTTTATAATTACTATTAAGTGTGACATAACTGTCATAGTTACCCGAGTGAATACTTTCGTATAATTGAAAACCCTCAGACATAAAACACAACTGGCATAAAGAGACAACCCGGGATGGTTGTTCGCATTATGGTAATGTGTAACGATGATCTTCCGTTCGTCGTTGAACCGCTTGAACGACGTTCAGCACCCCATATCTTCTGCTCCAATTTATTTATTTTCTTCAGCAAATGTTCCTTATCCTCATTTGACGTTTTTCGTTCGGCATTTTGACGACACAAAAACACTATTTTTAACACTGGGTACGTATTTAAGTAGAAGAAGTGCGAACTGGCAGAGCACTGAATCGTGACTGACGACGGATACCAATGTCAAATGGGATGTAAACTGAGATACCCACAAAAAAAAAAAAAAATATCCTCAACTAACAGTGCGTAAACTGGCATCACCGTACGTGATACTACATAGTTCTTATTTCTAATCTCGAGGACAAAGCACGAGCATAATTGCAAATTGTCATAATACTCAAATGTAAATATTTAATTTCTTAATATCATTCGGTCTTGGGCCTGTACTTGCTGACTACCGCGTTGTACTCATTCGGGTATTTCTCCAGCACGAACTTGTTTATTTCTTCGTACCTCTTCTTCTGTTCTGGGGTGCATTTGCCGCAGTTTGTGGCAATGAGGTCTGGAAGCATGTCTGTGGAACAAATTGTATACATAAGTTTTATTCAAAACTATCGGCCGCCCGCGACTTCGTACGCGTGGATCCCGTTTTACCCCCTTAGGTGTGGAGTTTCGTAAAATCCTTTCTTAGCGGATGCCTACGTCATAACATCTACCTACATGCCAAATTTCAACCCGATCCATCCAGCATTCCACCAGCGGTTTGGGCTGCGCGTTGATAGATCACTATGTCAGTCAGTCAGTCGGTCACCTTTGAGTTCTATACATATATTTAGATTAAAGCCGACGAGACATATAGTAAAAGTTAAAGGTAAGTACATTTATAAATAGTACTATGTGGATACCATGTGTGTAAGTATATGAATTTACCAGCCAATATATTGTCCCCCAAATTTGGTAGGGCATAATAACTTTAACGGACGTATAAGAGTGCCCTGAAAAGGGCCTATGTACTAATAAAGAATTTTAATTTGTGGGAATAGTATACCAGTAAAGTACGAATAGGTAAGTATGTTTCGAAAGAGAAAATAAGGGTTCGTAGAACTTTTAAGTTCGGTGTCAAAATCTCTCTCTGTTTTCTGGTTTCAAACAAGTGAGTCAAATTACAATGTAATATTTGGGAAAATACGCAATTCTGCACTTCGCAACCTACCTTTGTAGGCCTGGTAGTCCCCGCAAGGCAGCTCATCAGTCATGCACCCCACCACCTGCTTCCTGACCGCATCGTCAGCCAATAGCTTCTCCATGTCCGTGTTAAGCAGGTCATCCAGCTTGTCGGCCGAGGATACCATCACCAGCGCCGAAAGGCAGATTAGGATGAACGTCTTCATCTGTGAAAAATATACCCTCATTATCATCATTATCAAATTGAGAAACACGAGTCTCAGCGTGACATTTTTATATGAGTAAGGGTGGACCCGACTCGAATCTCAGAATAAATCGTCAGTTATTCGACATTTACATGTATTATGTAGATAAGTAGGTAACTAAATTTTGTGTGTTCCCAGCTGTTCCTATCGCCCCCCGTCCTGGGGGGCTTGTAGGGCCCGCCGTGTAGGCGGGCAATCGCCGGGAGGGGCTGTGGTAGAGAAGGGTTTGTCCGGAAACCTTTTTCTCCCACTAATGGCGAGTGACGGAGCACCGGGGTCTTTTTAGTGGGTATGCCTCGTCATTCTGACTTGGTGAGCCCAACATAACCTACCCTGTCCCCACAGGTTAGGTATGCGATTCAAGTTGGCACTATTAACTGACTCTACATTTATTCATCATCACTGACATAGTACAAACTTTAACTCTTATTTTGACTTTAATTTAATACTCTAAGCTATATTATATTCACAACACACTACATTTATTTTACAGTAGAAAATGTACATTTTGCACCTAAGACAAGTATTTCTTTGCGGGCAGCTAGTTGCTGGTAGTTTTTAGTAATTAAATAAATTAATGTCGTTTTTCTTACCTTTTCAGTAGCTGAACACAGATTATCTAGGATCCTGTACCGTGAGAACTGTCTTATATACCTGCAGGAATCATCTGCTGAAGTGTTTCGTCATTACAAGGAAAACTTTTAATTAGCTTAATCACCCCATTAGCTATTGCGAATCTCACATTTCATAGACAATGTAAAATAGATTAGGAAAGTCGCAATTAAATATTGAATGAACAGTAAACGCCTATTACCTTTTAAAAACGGTTCTACTACCTATGACTCAAATTAACGTAGTAAGGTAAACAAAAAAATTAATGACTGTTTTACAAGAATAGATCCGTTGCAAACTCGATGTTCGATTGTCTATGTGAATCAGCGAAGATAAAGGTAATTAATAATTATAGGATTCTAATCAGACTATTTTTGTATTACTTTATTATCATAGTTCGTTTCAGCCAAATGACGTCCACTGCTGGCCATACAAAGGCCCCATGGATTTCCAATAAAACTGATCCTTTTTTTTTTTTACCCAAGAAAATGGCCTATCCATACCTACCGCCGGGGGACGGCAGGTTATGTGGGGCTCGAACCAACTAAAAACCTGGGGTGTTCCCTCTGCCGCATAGTGGTCGGCGCCTTGGGTACTAGAAACGACCAAGGCGCCTTCCGCGGACGTCCCGCCCTACACGGCGGGACCCAACACGCCCCCACCTAGTGGGGGGCCGACAGGATTAGCCGGGACCACGAGGCCAATCCCGTCCGACGGCGGTGGTAACCTGTGCAATGCAGGGGGAGGCGCCCCCGCGTCTCCAACCTGCCACCACCAAGGGGAGGAAGAAGCGAACGGTCATACAACCGCCTTCTAACTCCCCTCCTCCGTCTGCGAAGCGGGGGTGCAGAGGGGTCGTCCTCGCGTTCCCGCTCCGCCGCCTCCTTCTGCGAAATGACATCTTCACAGAAAGAGGCCTCCCAGGCTTCGTCGCCACCGAGCATAGCGGTAACCATAGTCGGGAGCGAGAGGTCCTGGCCAACCACCGCACAAAGGACACGGCGCTGCTCCTCCCAGCCTGGACAGACTGCGAGGGTGTGCTCCACCGTGTCCGCTGCAATAAAACTGATCCTGCGTTTTCCGTATCCAAGTAGGGTACTTCCCGCGACCTTCACCAGATCGTGCTGATGCTATTTCTACTAATGAGAACGTTATTTTAGTAAGTTATTTGCAAGCATAGCTGACCTATCACACACTGATATTTTAATCCGTGTGTTCAAAAATTATTGAAAAAGCGTTTTTAATTTTATGCGTTATTAATTACGTGATGTTTATTTTTAACCGACAGGACAGTTTCAGTATGGGAAAGTTTATTATTCTGTTAAAAGATAAATCTGACTATTGAAAAATCAGCTCTTAGTTATTAACTGCTTGTTGCTAGCTCATATCTAATTGTCTGTTTTTTTTTAAAAAATATTGGAAATCCTATAAATTCTTTGCCTAAATTCCTATCGCAAATAGCCAATAGTGGAATGCTGTGGGACCATTATGTTGCTGATTTAATGATTTTTGGTAAAAAAAGTACTTTTTTTTGGTTAATTGTCAAATGCCTTTTCGCTGTTATCGGCTGTGTCCTCATTCAGATTTGTTATGACTTAACTATTTATTTAGACACGTGTCAAATTTCCCGTTTCATCGCGCGATTATTTCCCGTTTAATAAGAATGTACTTCAGAGGGTGCCTTTGGACCTTGGAGAAAAACATTTAAACTACAATTTGTTACAAAAGTATCAAAAAGGGTGAAATAGGGAAGAACTTTTTATATGGGGAACATGTGGTTTTTATACTAAATTCAATGCTTTATGAAAGAGCACAAGGCTTCGTATGACCAGGCCTGGCTCACTCCGCGCGGTAGGTACATCTGTTATTTACCTACAGCGAAGCGGCCCGCGGGTATTATATCAGTCGAGTGTCACGCGCGCAACCGTCGGGACATGATGTTTTGCCTTTAATTAATAATATATTTTATTTATTTATTTATTTTGAATACTATCTATGACGTTTTAAGAATTTTATGGTTAAAATATTACCTTTTACCTTTCCCTGTAAGTAAATGACACGGAAGCGTAACATCGGGACACCAAATTACGACTAGCTCTTTTTTAAGCTAGTTCTTTTACCATAATGTATAGGTACCCCAACAATCATCATCATCATCAACCCCAACAATATTCAAGAAAAAATAAATTGTTGCCAAAGTACAGCGAGTAACATTAGAGTAAGTTTGCGCAAAGCCAAGTATTTTCGTTCTAGGATGAAGCCGTTTCGTGTTTGGGTAGTAAGTAGGTAGGTATGATGTCATTCTTTCTTCTGTGATAGTGGGTATGTTTAATTTATTTGTCTTATGTTACAATAGGTATGAATGAATGAAGACATTGTATTAAAATAAGATTTTTTTATCCTAAGTAGGTATATTTAAAATGTTATTTTTTACAAAGGTAAAATAACAATAATACTTACCTACATACGTACCTCATTACAAATACATAACTAGATTAATTCTATTTTTTCACTAGATAGCATAGCAACCCTAACAGCGTAAGAAGAGTTCAGAGACACGCGATAGAAAGAGACACAACTTGTAGGTGAATAAAATTGTAGGGTACGTAGTGCTGTGCGAGCTGAATTACACTGTATCGCGTGGTAGCAAGACTCGCATTTGTTTAAATCGTCTTGCGGAGTAATCCTTCTGTAGGTACTACTATTATTTATTCTGTGGTATGACCCGGAATCTACTCGTAACAATCAGTCAAGAGGTACTAGGCACTTTTGGCATCTGCCCAGGTCCCCATAATCGGAGGCCTCTGTCTCTTCCCGTATCATCTTCACTGAAGAAAGTTTTCAAACAGTATTAACCTAACTATTATTGTACATTATCGCTGAAAAGCCTACATTATTTCGATTCTTTTTTTATCAAAAAAGGGTAATCCTTAAAAACCCAGGGCCCCCAGTAGATTAAATCCGGCTCTGCTCGTACTTGAGGCGTCAGCAGTTACAATGCAATTACAACACAAGACGCGGAAAGTCCCCTTGCGTGACCGTAGGATAAGTAGGTAAAGATATAGCGATTAATTATCTACGCTACCGCTAGGTAAGTAAGACCGATGCACCTTCGATCATTGGTAACTTGCAATTAATTATACTATTTTGGAAGTCTATTTATTCTCATTCATATGCACATTGTACGTAATTGGGGTCAAAAGGTCACAACTCTAGTGTTAGGCTTAATGCTTCTTCTTCTTAGTCGGACACTCGTGTCATAGTGGTCGCGGTTGCACTGTCAAATTACACGGTGGGGTGTTCGATGCCATCTCCGAGGGAAGCTCTCCTGGCGATGTGCTTCCATTTCTGATGGTTAAAGACACATTAAGGTTCCCTAAAACTTAAGGTTAATTAGAAACTTCTACTTTTCACTGGTTGGACCTCGGAGGTCCAGTGTCAATAGAAATAGGAACTATCAAAATAATAGTACGAGTATTTTCCTTCACATATTGTCGCTACTGTAGACTAAGGTCCTGTCAATCACAAGTGGCGACAACTGGTGAGCGCGATACGACACCCTTCATGAAAGCTGCTGACGATTTCAAATGAATACGTTTACTGCTTCACGGCAGTACACGATACATCATCTGATGAACTGCTAATAGAGCTATTAATTTAAAGATGTAAATATAGAAAAGGACTCAAGTTCACTATTGTTAATTAACATCAATTACAACAAACTACGAGTGCTAACCAGCAAGATATAGGTAAACTGCATAATATCCTTCGTATAAAGTATAAACCTTCGATAAATAACGTGTAATTTGCCACACTTACATCGTAGGTATCCACCCGACAACATCAGATGTTGAATCTAAATTTATTCAAGCAGTGTTCATTGTATTCGAGTAATTAGGTCATATTCATATTTTCCTTGTCTGTAACATAGCGTGGTTAGAAGAATATCTTAATCAAGTTAAGGTTTTTCTCAAGTTTTTCAACACGTCAATCGGATAAGATTTTTTTGTGATTCATAGTAGGAACTTGTTGACTTATAAAATGAGATTACTAGCCTATCTTTGTGGAAATCCTTGGAGGAGGCCTTTGTCCAGCAGTGGACGTCTTTCGGCTGAAACGAACGAACGAACGAACGAACTAGCCTATCATCATCATCATTTCAGCCACAGGATGTCCTTGTCCACTGCTGAACATACCTAGGCCTCCCCCAATGATTTCCATATTGGCCGGTTGGTAGCAGCCTCATCCAGCGCCTGGATACTTTATGAGGTCCTGCTACCTTTATGAGCTCTCATAAAGGTAGCAGGACTTATAAGATAGACGACCGTCTATCAACGTTGTGGGTAGAAACTTTGCTGCTGCTTATATGAAATGTTAATATGGACTAGGTACTTGCAATATATGACATAGAGTGGGTACTTTTATTTTGTTATTTCAACTTTTCAGCAATCGCAAGCACTTGAACCAACGGTTATGGGATTGTACCTCGCATAGAGCAGATTAGAATTTCCTTCGTCGTACCTACATACTTTTTGATACAGCAGAAGTTCTCTATGTAATTTGTAATGGAAGACGTTTCAAATCGGGTAAATTTTTGAAAATAGATATTTTTTACTTTAATGCTGTAAGATGAACTTTGAATTACTATGATTCAGTATTAGATTACGTACGGGAACTAATGAACATTAGAACAGTCCAAACTTAACGTGATTTGGCAGTAACTAGTGTAGTACTCGTAACTAAAAACAGTCATTTCCTACTAACTAATGATGAACAGACAATGGAGATTGTTTATAAAGATATACGAAGGTAAAAACAGTCATCAAGCCGGCGAGGCAAATTGGTAATGGATTTGCCAAAATACGTCCATTTACACTCGGAAGTTACCCGACTGCACTGCAAGGAGGGTAATGGTTTTCGAGAATATGTGTTTAATGTTTATGAATCATGACAATCTGTAGTTCAACTCGCTGCCGCACTCAAAAGTGTAGCGCTAGAGTAAATTCATAGTTTTTAAAACGCTAATTTAGATTAGCGTTCTTAGGTTCTTAGGAACTCACTGCGGATTCAGTTGTGATGTCT